TGGCTCTCGTTGCTTTCGCTGAGTCGTGCCCCGTGGCGCCTGGATGAAACACATACTTTGCAGATGACTGATGCAACGGCGTGCATAAGACTTGCGGCACTCGCCGCTCGTCTGCGGAACATGCAGTTCCCGGGTCGCGTTTCACTGACCCGAATTCGCCACCCTGAGGCAGTGCAGAGCTGGTTGTCGTGGGAAAAAGCGAAAAAAGTAGGCCACTTGGTGCACGGCACGATCGCGGCGATGCGGCGCCCGTGGGGGCCAGGTTGGCGGATGGCAGCAGCGAAGTGGCCAGGGGCGTCGCTCGGTCGCTGGGTCGCCCAAAGGAGGGCGACAGCCGTGCGCCGCGACCATGAGTGCGTGGCCCCGGCTTCCGCCAGTCCGCAAAGCGGGCAGACGGTGAAGTAACCGAGGCTGAGGGGAAGGGCAGGGAAGGGGCCGCATAGGATCCTGCCCTCCTGGACGGTGGCGGGTAGCCGGGGTGACAGGAGGTGGTCGGGCAGCCCTGTCCATTTGGTAGGCGAGGGCGCCCACACGCCGAGGCAGGCGGAGCACCACTTGGCGCCGCGCCGAGCCTGCGTGGGCGTGTGCCGGACAACGACAGCGGGCTACCCGCACACGCTGCACCTGTGGTCGAGGCGGCCCGCGTCGCCGCGCTACCTGTGTACGAGGACGAAGCGGCCAACAGGGTCCATTCGTCGCCGTGACTCGGGGAGTGCGCTCGTGCGGCCGCGCGATTTCGCAATCATCTGTGAACATGACAGTGGTTCCGCTCCGCCCAGGCAGCAACGTAGAGGGCGCAACCGAGCCCAGGACCCCAGTTCTCGTGGAGACCAGGCTCCTGGAGGGCACGCCAGCTCTGGAAGGCAGCTTGAGCCAGGGCCAGGGGCCGGCGTCGGCCGTCGACAGTGATGGGCCGATTTTCCACCACCACTACCATAGGTAGGAGAGGCGGGAGGATGAGAAAGAGGAGGAGGACCTTCCCATCCTCCCTTCTCCCTCGTCCTAATTATGGTAGTGGTAGTGGAAGACTGGCCCATCAGACAGTTGCCGTGAGTGGCTGATCGGGGAAGCTCTGCGCCCACCGGGCGAGGGCGGCCCAGTTCGTGGCCGCCTTGGGAGCGGCACGGCGGCACGGGGGGCACCCCACACGCAAACACACACACACACACATACGCACACACGCACACACACACACACGCACACACGCATGCAAGCACACCCACGCACGCACGCAAGCACGCACGCACGCAAGCACACACGCACACACGCACACACGCACACACGCACACGCACACACGCACACACGCACACACGCACACGCACACAGGCACACAGGCACACACAGGCGCACACAGGCACACACACAGGCGCACACGCGCACACGCGCACACGCGCACTCGCGCACACGCTTAAGCGCGCACACGCGCACGCGCGCACGCGCGCACACGCGCACACGCGCACACGCGCACACGCGCACACGCGCACACGCGCACGTACACGCGCACACGCGCACGCGCGCACACGCGCACGCACACGCGCACGTGCACGCACACGCACACGCACACGCCCACGCACACGCATACGCATACGCAGACACACATACATACATACATACATACATACATACACACACATCCATACATACATACATACATACATACATACATACATACATACATACATACATACATACGTACACACATACATACATACATACATACATACATACATACATACAAACATACAAACATACATACATACATACATACATACATACACACATACATACATACATACATGCATACATACATACACACATACACACATTCATACATGCAAACATAAACTCATACATACATACATACATACATACACACAACCATTGTTACTTACCTACTTACCTACTTACCTACTTACATACTTACATACATGCACACATACACATGCACATGCAGGTACACATACACATACGCATTCACATACACGTGCACATACACATACACATACACATGTACATACACATACACATATACAGACACGGCCACACACATACACATGCACACACATACACATGCACATACACACATGCACATGCACATGCATGTGCACATTCACATTCACATGCACATGCACATGCACATGCTTATACACATGCACATGCACATGCACATGCACATGCTCGTGCACATGCACATGCACATGCACATGCGCATGCACATGCACATGCACATGCTCGTGCACAAATACAGACGCAGTCACAGACCCCGACACAGACACAGATCCAGACACAGGCACAGGCACACACACATGCACACACATATGCACATGCATATTCACACGCACATGCACATGCACCTGCACATGCACCCGCACATGAACATGTGCATGCACATGCACATGCACATGCACATGCACATGCACATGCACATGCTCATGCGCATGCACATGCACATGCACACGAACGTGCACATGCACATACACACGCACAGGCGCACGCACATGCACATGCGCATGCACATGCACGTGCGCATGCACATGCACACGCACATGCACGTGCACATGCACATGGCCATGGCCACTCTCATGGACATGGGCATTCCCGTGCACATGCACATGCACATGCACATGCACACGCGCATGCACATGCACATGCACATGCACATGCACAGGCGCAGACACAGACACAGACCCAGCCACACGCACACGCACACGCACATGCACATGCACACGCACCTGTGCATGTACATGCACATGCGCATGCACACGCACATGCTCATGTACATACACATGCACACGCACTTGCACATGCACATGCACATGCACATTCACATGCACATGCGCATGCACAAGCACATGCACTCGCACACGCACACACACACACGCACACGCACATGCACGTGCACAGGCACATGCACATGCACATGCACATGCACATGCACATGCGCATGCAGATGCAGATGCACATGCACATGCACACATGCACACGTGCACACGTGCACACGTGCACACATGAACACATGCACACGTGCACACGTGCGCACATGCGCACATGCGCACATGCGCACATGCGCACATGCGCACACGCGCACACGCGCATGCACACGCACGCGCACACGCACATACGCACACACGCACACGCAAGCGCACACGCAAACGCACACACTCACACGCGCACACACACACACGCACACACACATCCACACATGCGCATGCACACGCACACGCACACGCACACCCAATACGCACATACGCACACGCAAGCGCACACGCAAACGTACACACTCACACGCACACACACACACGCACACACACACATCCACACACAACACACACAGCACACACACACACGCTCACGTACACACACTTTCACACACACACGCAGACACACAGACACACACACAGACACACACACAGACGCACACACATGCGCACACAACACACACTTACACACAACACACACACACACTTACACACATACACACATACACACATACACACACTTGCACACACTTACACACTTACACACACGCACGCTCACCCACAGACACACACACACACATACACACGCAGCACACGCGCCCGCACCCGCACGCACGCGCACGCCAGGCGCACGCGCACGCGCACGCGCACGCGCACGCGCACGCGCACGCGCACGCGCACACGCACACGCACACTCACTTGCACACGCACACGCACCCGCACGCGCACGCGCACACGCACACGCACACGCACACGCACACGCACGCGAGCACGCACACGCACCCGCACCCGCACACGCACATACAACACGCACGCGCTCATACACGACGCACGCGCACGCGCAAGCGCACGCACACCACGACAGACCAGCACGGCAGATCAACACGACGGACAAGTCTTCACGGGCCCAATGGACAAAAGCGACGCTGCTTTTTCTTGTGCGGTCAGGTTCCCCAGGATACCGAAACTGGTTGAACAACGTAGTATTGTTTTCAACGCGTTTGGACTTTGAGGGGATTCTGAACCAGCATCGTCTTGAAATCGCTCCTGGGTGTCCTCAAGACGTCCCCGACAGACCCCAAGGCAGCCCCAGGGGGTTCCAGCAGCCCCCATGGTAGCCCCTGAAAGGTCCGAAGGAGCCCCATTTCTTCCACGCCCTTCTCGTCGTGCTCCTCACACTGTTCTCCTCGTCGTCCAAGCTGCTATATTCGAGCCCTCCTGGTCGATCTTGTCGTCCTTCTTCTTCCCGTACTCGCTTTCGTCGTCTTCTTTCTCCGGTCCTTGTGCTTGTCTTCCTCCTCGTGGTCCTCCTGCTTTTCCTCTCCTTCCACTCGCCATCAACGCTGTCCTTCTTATCGTACGCCTCCTTGTCGTCCTCCTCTCCCCTCTTCTATTTTTTCTCGTACGAGCTGGGTAGACAAGAGTTGCGCTTCCTATTCTTGTTTGGTCAGGTTTGCCTGATGCTCCGTGCTGTGTTATCCTTTGGTAGTTCGGAAGTATTTTCCAATTGCTTTCTGGTGCGCGTGCGTTGGTCTGGATCCACGCGTGATCAGCTCGGTTGTGGGATTGAAGCGCAGACGAATATATCAGACCAATCTGTTTGTCAGCCTGCAGAATAAGGTGCTGCTTGAGAGCGCCGTGATCGGATTCGGCTTGAGATCGACGTGGATTTGTCGTTTCTTATTTTGCTGTGTTTCGAATTTCTATTACGCCGCACTGACAGGATCCATGCCTCCTAATTAGCGCCAGAGTAGATACGGCCCTTGAATCGTACGACATCGCCGATGCTTCGTCGAGGCGTCGTCGATGCGGTGTTATTTGAAATGTGTTTTTTCCATGCCCCGCGGATGCATCGGTAATGCGGCGCGACCTTCGGACCCCATCTATTTTATGCCCCATGTGTAGGTCGCCGCAGCAGAATCAGCATCCAGACAGGGTGTGGAGCAGGGCCCTCGTGCGCACGCATCTTCTGTAGCAGTGGCCGCCGCCAGGGGGCACTTTCGAGAACAAGAGCTACAAGAATGCCCGCATGGCACCCTGCCATAGCATCGTGTCGTCGTCGTCCTCCTGATCGTCCTCTTCCTGTCTCTCCCCGCCGGAACCATTTTGAGTAGGTGTTCGATCGTGGACCCCTTGTTGAACGCAACCATCCAGCTTTCGCGCCGAAGACCGCAGGAAACCGCCAACGACCGCCGGAAACCGCCGGAGACCCGTGAAGACCGTCAGAAGACCGCTGGACATTGCCGAAGACCGCCGAAGACCGTCGAAGGCGGGCCGAAGACGGCCGAAGGCCACCGAAGGCGGCCCGGGACCGACAGATAACAAGGGACCCCATGGTCGCACACGTATGTAATTCTGGGTCGAGAGCACCGCTTCCACCGGGCGAGTGCGCTTTCCGCGTGGAGTGGATGCTCGCACCCGCGGCTCACTGTGATTGGCGCCCCTCGTCCTCGACGCGCGCCGGTGTCGCTCGCCCAGTCGCGCAGGTGGAGTCGGTCGTGCCACACTCGCCTCGGCACGCTGACGGGTGGAGCGTGGGATGGCTTCTGGAGCCCCTGAGATCCTGGCGTTGCGATTTTTTCGCAACGGGCGTTTTTCGCCCGTCTTCGGGCCCCTGGACCCTCACAGATCGATCCGGTTCGAAAAATGGCGCAGAAAGATGGGGTCTGGGACTCTGGTCGCGATTTTTTGCGATGCTGTTTTTTTTTCGCGACGTCGGATCCCAGGGGCGTGCAGTTGGGAACGCGAACGTGTTGTAATTCTCGGAGAATGCTTTGGCTGCGCGAGTGTGCATCCTAATTCACAAAGGATCGTGGCTGCGGGAGCGCGAGCGCGAACGCATCGTGGCATCGTGACCTCGGGAGCGCGGATCTATAGTTTTCGCATGTCCCAGGCCACCCAGAAGATGGAGGATTCCAGATTCGAGGTGTTAGCGGGAGGCTTTTCGGCGGGGGGCGGTCGAGCGTTCTGCAATTTGTAAGTTTTTTGAGCGAGGCATGCTGATCTATTGCCCCTGAAGCCCTGGAACAGAGGAGTTGTATCGGAACTGGCGTCAGAACGTTGGAGCCGCGGAACCGAAAGCTAGATACAGGGTGCATAAACTTAGGTTTCGCAGCCTCATGGTCCCCAAGGGGTCCAGCGGATTAAATGCACGTTCTGGCGATCTTCTACAACAATGCGACGACGAGAGATACGAGGAAGAGGAGCAGGAGGCGGAGGCGGAGGCGGAGGCGGAGGAAGAAGAGGAGGAGGAGGAGAAGGAGGAGGAGGCGGGGGAGGAGGAGGAGGAGGAGGGGGGAGGAGGAGGAGGAGGAGGAGGGGAAGGAGGAGGAGGAGGAGGAGAGGAGGAGGAGGAGGAGGAGGAGGAAGAGAGAGAGGAAGAGGATGATGATGATGATGATGATGATGATGATGATGATGATGATGATGATGATGATGATGATGATGATGATGATGATGATGATGATGATGATGATGATGATGATGATGATGGTAATGTTAATGATACTGATAATGATGATGATGATGATGATGATGATGATGATGATGATGATGATGATGATGATGATGATGATGATGATGATGATGATGATGATGATGATGATGATGATGATGATGATGATGATGATGATGATGATGATGATGATGATGATGATGATGATGATGATGATGATGATGATGATGATGAGGAGGAGGAGGAGGAGGAGGAGGAGGAGGGGGAGGATGGGGAGGAGTGGGGGGAGGATGAACAGGAAAAAGGGGAGGAGGAAGTGGAGGGTAAGGTCAACGTGGGATGTGCGGACTTAGAAAGAGGGGGTGGAGTCCTCGACGAGGATGAGGAGTAGCAGGAGGAGGAGGAGGAGAAGACGAAGGATGAGGAGTAAGGCAGGAGGAGGAGGAGGAGGAGGAGGAGGAGGAGGAGGAGAAGGAGGAGGAGGAGGAGGAGGAGGAGGAGGAGGAGGAGGAAGATGAACAGCATGAGGATTAGGATGATGGCCCGAATACCTGACCGCTCTTAGCCTGAACCCCCCACAGGGCCCCCCAAAGAGGCAGCTGCAGGGAGGAGGGTAAGGATGAGCTGATGTTAGCACCTGCCAACACGCGCCGAGTTCGGGTAACAGCGTGAGCCGGGTGATGGGAAGTGGTAAGAACGCGCAGTACTTACATATCGTTTGATCGCCCAACCGCATTCTAAGAGATCTGGGCGAAAGGGATCATATATCGCCGACGTCAACCCGAGAGGCCCAGACAAACCTCGAGAGACGGATTTGAGGCTGAACACCTTGATGCATACATGAAACGGATATGAGGCCGAGTCATTGCACGGCATCATCCGTCACCATCAAACGACGGAGGACGGGGATGGCGGGGTTACCCTTCGCGTCTTTGGGGCGAGTCCCCGCCACAACGCTATCTCTGCGCCGTTTGCGTTGAGGGTCTTCCTCCAGCAGCTCAGTGTCACACGCACATTACCCAGACATGCGATGTCCTGTTTTTTTAAATGCGCGGTCTCCCGAAGTCTCGATCCCTTCCTCGGGCCAGCCTTTCATCCCGAGTAGTTTTTGGACCGTCCGACGGCCCAGCGAGGGCCCCCGGAGGCCGAACTTGCCCCCCTCCCCCCCGTCGACCCCTCGAGCCTGAAGGAAATGCCCTATATCCCCACCTAGGGGGGTGCATCGGCCAGAGGGGCCCAGGCCACGCCGTTGGGGATCGGGGTCAGATAAACGAGGCTCACCTCTCCTAGCCGCGCGCAGAAGAGGGGGTTTGGGGGGAGGGGGGAGGGCTTCTCGGAAGCACCCCTGCTTCTTAGAAGGTGCGGGCCACCTCTGTAGATGTAAGGCTGGCGCCTGCCAAGAAACAGCCTCCTGCTAAGACGCCTTCCCCCCTTCCCTCCACCCCCTGGGGCCCGCCGCCAACCCGAAAGCGAAACCGACTTCCCGGTGGGGGGGGGGGGCTCCGCGCGCTCCTGACATGAACATGGTGCGCGCTCGAGGGCGGCGCGCCCCCGCCTGCTCCCTCCCCCCTCCCCTCCCTCCTGCCCCCCCCCCCTCCTGCGGGCGGGCTCCCAGGGGGGGGGGGGGGAATTCGGCCCCCGCTTGTGTGTGACCCCCCCTCCAGTGTTGCGGCAGGCGCGCCCCCTCTGCGCTGGGGCAGGGGATTGGTCGCATCCTGGCGGGCTCTGGTGGGGCTTTGGTTTTCAGACCGTTCCACGGATCCGAGTCGCGAGAAGCTGTTCGTGGCCGAGGTTCGCCGTGGCCAGACGTTCCCTATTCGGCGCTCCTTGTGGTAGCACGATGACTGTACGATCCAAGTGGGTATGGAAAGAATGGGTACGAAGACCGACGGCATTATTTTCTGTTCCGTATTCCGTCTAATGGCATCGCCTCTCATGCTCTCAAGGGCTCGTAGCTCTGTGTCTGCTCAGGGTCTCTCTGTCAAGAGGCTGTTGTAATTGCCAAGTCGGTGGCTGTACACTGCGCCAGGGCACCGAACGAGCCGGGTGACCTGCAGATGATACGCATCGGTGGATGTCCACTGACCACCTCGCCTGTCCTCACCGCTGATGTTCTCTGGACGCACTGGTGCCAGTCTCCACCCGCCTTCAGTCGAGGAAGAACACATGGCATAAACATCTATTTTCGGGGCTCCTTGTGGATTTCTTGAATCTGCGCTAGGTCCCTCTCTCGCTGGTTTATGTTGATGCAGTCTTTGCGACGCGGCCGATCCGATCCGATTTCGACTCCGTGCCGATGCAGCCCAATCCGATGCACATTTCGATTGCAGCCGATTTCCCGATTTGCTGCTGGCTGATCCTGCCTGCAGGTCTCCAGCAAGTTCCTCACTTGTTTCTCGGACTTCCGCCGCCCCGACGCGGAGAGCCACATGCTCCTGGCCGACTACGTGGTCTACCTGGAGGAGGGCGGGGGGGCTCCTCGCAGTGGAGCGGCGCAGTCAGTCAGTACCTTCCTTTCTCCTCCTCGCCTTGCTCCTGCGCGCGCGTGCTGGCAGGAGGGAGGGCCTTGGCCGTTTTGACTCGGGCCAGTTTGAAGAAGCGACGTGGTCGCCGAAAGATCACCCAGAGCGCCTGAACAAAGCAAGCTATCCCGATCGCAGGCTCGAGATCGTCATTTGTTTGTACTGTGCGGTTGGGCAGACGCGCTGCCTGCACCTCCAGGATGATCGACCCGGTTCGACGTCGATTCGGGCCCGCCTGATCCGATTCTACTCCGAAATCTAGTGAAATGCTGCCAGATGCATGGATGGCATTGCTTTGCATCCTGGCCCGGCTGGTCCGATTCGATTCCGACTCCGTGTCGATGCAGCCCGATCCGATACACGTTCCGATTTGATCCGATTTGCCGATTCGATGCTGGCTGATCCTGCACTTCTGGAGGCAGCGGGGTGCTCCCCGTTCGTCGCTCTGCGCGCACCGCGCGGCGCAGGGTGGAAAGCTGGTGGCTTGGGTGTCGCAGACGCGAGGGCGGCGGGACGGCGGTGCGCCGACGTTTGCACCCCTCGTCCTGCCACTACCTTCGCAGTGGGGGCGTTCGTTAAGGAATGTGCCCATGAGGCTGCAGACCCTGGGGGGTTCCTGGTCTGATAAGTTCGGCGGTGCTATCCATGGCCGATCCACGATTGGAGTTCCACCGGCTTCCAGACCCTGGGCTCCTCATGTAAGGGTTTGTGGTCCAGTGGCCACCTACCTTATTTCGATTACCTTTGATACTGTTACAACTATTATCATTATGCTTACTATTGCTATCACTACGACCTCGACTACAAATATTACTCTTTCTACTACGATCACAACAACAAGTACAACGCCTACTGTTACACTTATTACACTTGCTACTACTACTACTACACTACGACTACCACAACTACTGCTACGACGACTTCTGCTACTACTACTACTACTGCTACTACTATTACTACTGCAGTTACTACTACTAATACACCTACTACAGCTACGAGTACTACTGCGACTACTGCGACTCCAACAACTACTACTATTATCAGT